TTGAAAATAAAAGGACTTATAAAGCAAATATTCTGCCTGTGAAAAATTAAGAATCCTATGTATATTTCTCTAACCAGACCAATTGTGACACAACAACGCCTTAAAATGAGTAGGGTTCAGAGCCAGGGATTTAGCTCAGTGGTTCTGCCACCTGCTTCACAAGCACAAGGACCCAAGTTCGATCCCAGTACTAAAGGAAAAAAAAAATTATCTAAAATGAGTATGGTTCACATGTGAAGGATAAGCATCAATAGCAAAACCATATTCATAATTATATTTTCAAGAAATGTAAATTGTATAAAATTAACTATTTCAAGCAAATCATGATAAGAATCCAATATTAAAAGGTACAGATATGCAGAATAAAAATGGTATACATAGGAGCAATTAATCTGAAGTCTACTTTTTTTTTTTCCTTCCTTTTAGGGAAAATATAAAGCCCTAAGGAGATGGAGATTCCTCACTTTTCATATCCAGCCCATATTACTCAGTTCTTTATTAACTCTTTGAAACAGGGCTAACAGGGAAGTGACAGTTGCAAGTCGAAGTTACTAACACACAAAAAAACTAGACGATCTACAGGATCTTTGTTGGCATAATGAGGCTAATACAGCCTCTCCTGCAGAACTGTTGTAAGGATAGAATGAGGTCATGCATGCAATACACCTAGCAGAATGCGTGATGCTAAGTAAGCAAGGGTAGATGTCTCTTTTCCCCTAAGAAGACTGGTTTCTAGAGTTCTGGAAATTATTCTCTATCTGATTATATACTGCTACAATCAAATTCCCTATTAGCATAAGTTTCAAGAGAAAACAACAATGAACAAACAGATGAGCAAGAAAATATCACTTGTTAGTACTACTGAATGCCAATTTCAACGAGCTCATTATGTAAATTATCTCATTTTCTTCCTAAGAAGTATTGTTCTCACTTTAAATACAGAGAGTGAAAGCTAAAATTAGCTAGCAACTGATCACAACTTAGAATCTGAAAGTAAGAAAACCAGAATTTGAACCTAAGTCCTCTAGATGTCTATATACAGCTCCACATTCTGTCTTCTAGGAATAACACCACACACAGTGAAAGTCACAAAATTAATTTTGATTAAAAAACTTAAAACAATGAACACCTGCTAACTCTGTATTAACTAACAGCTACTCATTTTCAATCACATGCCACTTAGAGAATACCATCTTTGCTTTAATTTATATAAACCCAGAAGATACTCACTGTATGTTATATATACACATATGTCTATATGCAGTTAATATATAGAGACATATCTCTCCAGTGCACATTACACAGACTGAATTGGATATGGGAGGATATAAAAGTCAGAGGCCACTGACTGCCACCACTGTGATCTTGCTGTTTTGCTGTACTGTCCTCATTTTTCTGTAGGGACGTGTCCTGCTTGGGGAACATATCTCCTCCTTCTCCTCTTTTCTTCACTCTTTCCTTTAGTTTCTTTCATTCTTTCCTTCTCTGCTTTTACTCTGAAAACAGCTCTGTTCACCTAATTCTTCAGGTAGGACAGAGCCTGACAAGCTGGCATCTTCCAGCTCAAAAGAGCCTGAAATCCCCAAACACTGCCCAGCAGTCCGACAGCAGGGGGTGCATACTGAGCATGGAAGATCACAGAAATAACCATGGTGGCTCCTTCACAATTTGATTTTGACTAAAGGTATATAAATCTGGTTGCTAAATAATACTTTTTTAATTGTACTCAATTCTATATCAACCTGTACTTTTATTAACACCCTCATGTTATGGTCAGAATCTAGCTCCTATTTGGATTAGTATGGCCTTCTATGTTAACATAATTATTTAAACCATTTCCAACTGCTCTTTATTGTACCTCAGGTCATTCCAAGTTCAAGGGGAACAATGACAGTTCGGTGCTATGATTTTTCTTAAAATTAATTTATTTCACCAATTTATTAATTAGTTACACAAATATTGAACCTCTCTAAAGTATGCTGTTATACATATGGGGAAAAGTAGTAACTGAAACAGACAAAATCCCATCTTTGAAAGTCCTTACATCTATTTGAGAGAGGGACACTAAGAACAAGTAAAGTATGTCACATTATGGGCTGGAGATGTAGCACAGTGAAATAGAGCTTGCCTAGAATTCAAAAGGCCCTGGAGTGTTCCATAGCACCACAAAAAGAGCAAAGGAAGGAAAAAAAGTCATGCAGCACGGAGTGCGACAAAGTATGTTATGGTGTGTATTTATTTTCAACATCAATAATGACATTAGCATTGAAAGGTAATTTTTCATTTAAAAAAAATTGCACACAAGGATAAATAAGTCTTTTCTGGCCAGGCCTGGTGGTACAAACCGGTAATCCCAGTATTATGGGAGGCTAACAAAGAGGGATCTAAAATTCGAGCCCAGCCGGGGAATTTGGCGACTCAGTGAGATCCTGCCTCAAAATTTAAAAGGAGGTTGGGGCTGTAGCTCAGGCTAGAAGCCCTGGGATCAATCCCAGTACCACTGGGGAAAGTCTTTTCTATGTGAACCATGTATCCTACCAATACACTTTGATCTTTTGGGAAATGTTGGCAAATGTGTCATTAATAGCAGCAAGAAAGAAAATTCACAAAATGTAATTCTGAATATGAAATCTAAATTCCAAATATGAAATCTGTCTAGGGAGAGGCTTGTAATGTTTCATAAAAACAATTCCTTCATACTGCAATGCAGGACAATGTCACATCAGACACAGATTTTGCAATGGGCATCTGAAATGAACAGACATTTCTCAGACAAGGAAGTAGAAACAGCAAGTAAAAACATGAAAAACTGTTCAACGGCCGGGGATTTAGCTCAGTGGTTCTGCTGTCTGCCTCACAAGTACAAGGACCTGAGTT